AGAGCACTGTAGTTGTTCAATAATGAAATTCATCCTCAGAAATACAACTTGCCTAATAATTATTCACACAGTGTAAATGGTGAAAAACTAGAGCAAGTAGAAGAATGTGTGTGCCTTCATAAATGTTTACTGAAGATGGGAAAATGGATAGACATGTAATACATGCGAACACTGGTAGAAACATGTAATCTAGCAAGAAATGAATGTCGAAAGAAGTGAAAAATCGCTGTGTTTAAGAGTGTGCTTTTGCCCACTTTAGTTGAGTGAAAGTAAGGATTGGGTATGCAGGAGAAACATAAAAACTGAATGTCATAAGAATGGGAAACGTAGTATTCTGAAACAATAGATAGGGTCAAGAATGAATGGATGATGAATTCATGTGGACTGAATACTGAGTCAGTAGTATGAAAGAAGTACATTGAAGTAGGTTGCTTAAGTAGGGAAAATGAACAATGATCATTTTGGAAAGCAAATATATGAAGGAAGAGAAGTGGAAAACCAATAAAGTAGTGACTGGATGGGGGTTGAGACCCTCTTATACTTTTAATTTGTTTGGTTTACTATTTCTCACTCCTTTGCTCTCTGCATTAACACTGCTTACCCTGAAAGGGAATAGCATGACAGATGTGTATGTATTTACATAAAATGAAAATGAAAGTTGTACACTTGATTTTTTTTCGCTTTGGATCAATTTTAGGTCTATCATGAATTTCACAATGAGGTGGATTTCTATCGTCAGCACTGGTGGCGTTGTAATGGTCCGTGTCAAAATAGAAAGCCTTATTTTGGCTATGTAAAACGTGTAATGAATAGGGCACCATCTGCAAATGACTTCTGGTGGGCAGAGCACCAACAGAGCTGTGGGGGAACATTTACCAAGGTCAGAGAACCCAAGAACAGCTCCAAGAAATGCAAAGAGAAAGATCAGCAAGCAAAAATCTTATCTGATGGTATAGGTATGTACCTTCTTTTGTTGTTTACCAACTGAGTATCAGTATACAATATATGTAACTAAAAATATTGACTGGAAAGCTACTTAAATTTTTTCTCAACAGTGCTGATTAATATTTTCAAGTATATATAATTGTGCTCTGTATAAAAGGAAAAAGCACCGAATATCAGTTTTCTAGATGAGGGTGATTTCAGCTTAACTTGAACTAGGGATTTGGATCCTAAAAGCAGTTGGAACAGAGTGAAGTTTCCATAAGAGACTTTCTCAATGCCTCCGCTCCACTCCACTCCACGCCACTCCACGCCACTCCACTCCACTCCACTCCACTCCAGGTAGTACATGTTTGTCATGCAGAAGCACACAGGTTCAATTCTTGGTTTTTCCAGATAAGGATGGAAAAAAATCTTGCCCGAAATCCCAGAGATCTATTGCCAGTCAATGTTGATGATATGGGACAAGAATAAATCAAGGGTCTAAGTTGATACAAAATTGTTTTCTAGGTTCCAAATAGTGATGGCAGAGTTTAGGGGAGGCTTGAGGAGGCTAACAGTGCCTGAAATCACTAAATACATCTGCAACATTTTAAAAAATTCATGCCTTGCACATCCCAGGACTTAATCTGTTCCTTGTCAAGAGAGTTTCCTGACCCTGCAGACAAGCTCTGAAGGGATCTGGAAGAAGATGAGAAAGTTCTGTCATTATAGGTTCCTTCTGCTCATACTGTTTTTTGGGACAAGACAATGGCTACTTTGAAATACTATTTTGCTGCTGATAGAATTGCTTAGTGCAATCTCAGACACTGTGTACCAAATAAACCTTACTAAAGTAGTTTTCCATCCCAATATCTTTAAATAGGTTTATAGTGAATTCTTTCTCTCTCTCTCTCTCTCGCACGCGCACGCATGTGTGTGTAGGCTTCCAAGCCAGTTTTGATTCCTGGCGACTGCCTGGACAATCTCTGCAGTTTTCTTGGCAACATTTTCAGAAGTGGTTTGCCCTTGCCTCCTTCCTAGGGCTGAGAGTGAGTGGCTGGCCCAAGGTCACCCAGCTGGCTTCATGCCTAAGGCGGGACTAGAACTCCCAGTCTCCTGGTTTCTAGCCTGGTGCCTTCACCACTATACCAAACTGGCTCTCTATAGTAAAAATAGTAAAAATAAAATTCCACATAAATTAAAATTTAGCTCATTGTGCTCATACCGCATATTGGTTTTGCCAAATTTTCACTCAACAAATGCAATTTTATGACTGATAATCAGCCAAAATATTCTTGAAACCTTACAAGCTCTGTTTTTTCTTCCCTGCCTACAAGTAATCCTACTAGGTTCATTTTGCAATGGACATTCCTTATTACATGTGAATACATGAGGCTATTTGGCACACTCATTTGAATTATTTGAGTGAAAAGTATTTGTAATAGCTGAATTTTATTTGAACTGAAAGAACTTCTGGTGTATTTTCAGGAAGAGCTCATGGAAGCAATATACAGAGCATAATTCCTTTTAGTGGGAAAGGATATGTCCTTGGAGGAAAAAGAAGTGAATCATCATTAGAGGGAGCTGTGAGTCCAAGCATCATTAAGAGCAGAGAACTGCTCCAGTCACAATATCATTCACCTGCTGGTTCATCTAGGTCAAATCCTAAAAATGAAATCAAGTTTGAACAAAATATTTCCTGCACAACTATTTCCTCTCCATTTTCTCAAAGCGGTGATGAAAATAGTTCTGCTTCTAGCATCATGCTTCCTAGATTTTCAGTTGCTAACCATAAGGCTTACACTAATGTTAATGGCTCACCAGTTAAAAATATTTCTTTGGGTGGCAAAAGGTCAGAATCAAGTTCTACAAATGCTGTAAGGGATATACTCCACAAAAGGACTCCAGAAGACAGCATTTCTGTATCAGCTACAATGACTCCAAGATCCCAGTCGCCATCTCAGAGAAACAGCAATGCCCATAATGGTGGGCCACCAAAACGGGCCAGAATGGAAGATTCAGCTGCGTTTGTCAACTATTTTTTAAAGAAAGGAGATCTCAAGGAGACAACTTCTTCTATGAATAGTATGGCTAAGTCAGCAACCTCAAAAACATCCATTAGTGACAGTGACCAAAATAGAAATGTCTGTTGCCCAGTCTGTCTATCTGAAGTTTTGGAAACCAAAATCAATGAACACTTAGACCTCTGCCTCTGAGATCTTTTAATGTAATTTTAATCTAATGCTGCTTTGCTCAGGATTTCTATCTGAGTACTTTATGTATATTTGCTTTCTATGTTTTATGGAGAAAAGTTTACATTTGACCTAACTTTGTGTATGAAAGTTCCTCAGTCTGAATGAAAGATTTTTCTCAACACATATATGCTAATAATGCAGTTGACACTGACACATAGCCTTGAAAAATGTGTGTGTCTAGGAGACTGTCTCATCAATTCTATAATGATCTGAACTGATATTTAACACGAGATATAAGGTAAGAAACTAGGACCATTACAGTACATGCATTTAATTCTTTATCAGAATCAGATCCAGACCTAAAAACCTTTGCTTTTTATATTGTAGAAAAATAGTTTGCTATTGTAAAATTTTCAATTTTTCTTTGGCTAGTTTTGTCCAAAGTTTAAACACTAAATGGGAAAAAATACAGTTTGAGTGTGTGTGGGTGCGCATATGCATGTAAAAAACAGAGAAATGAGATTGTTTTTCCCTGAACTTGAAAGCTGATGTTGTATAATTATAGTAATGAATACTGGTTACTTTTATGTCTGCACCCAAAGAGACAGCTCACTGAGTGCTTCCTGTAAATTATGATGTCCACTTTTTATCACCAAATTTATAGATTTTGGCTGGGCTACCAAAGCTTTTTTCTTTAAGTTCAGAAGGGTTAGACTGATGATGATATCTTATCTTATGCAATTTTTGATCAGGCAGATCTTCTTCTAAATCATAAACACATAGGGAAGGCTATGTCATACTGCCATTTCATTTATAAAGTGCCTATTAGAATTATGTATGCCTATTATTTGTTGATAGCAATGCTTGAAGGTTATTTCCTCTGAGATGGAAGTATATTCTTGAACACAGGTAGGCAGTTTAAGATTGTTAGTGGTTTGTACAATTAAAAATAAATAACTTTTCAAAACTAGCACCTGAAATAGAACTCTGTTTTTCAAAAATGAATTATGGATTTCATAATCTGTTTTAAATATGCCAAAAACTTAAATGTAACTTGTATTGTTATAGGTCAGTTGTGTTTTGACACTCTAATGTGATGCTCTTCTACTAGCTTTTGTCCTTGAACAGCACTGTTAATATAGGCAGGCAAACATCTATGCAGGCTCATATATTGCTGTTGGCTGAAATACCTCAAATAGGCCACTGCTGTGAAAGGAACAGCAGCAGAAGCATCTTTCAGTTCCTTGCTCATCAGAGATTTCACCAACCTGCTGGTTGCTGCTCCTTGTCATCACCCAGGAAAGAACAAGAACCACCTGTATATGGGTGGAAGAAATTACTACTGAACAAGTGACAGATAAGTGACCAATAAGGAAAGCAATGGTTGCTTCCATTAGGTGTCCTCCTTTCTCTACAATCAGAGTAGAGTAGTGGAGCAGTATTGATTGCCCTTTTCTAGGGGCATCCTAACTCAGTATCCCTGTCCTCCCAAAGAGCCATCTATCAGGCAAAGATTTCTTTTGTTACATAAATCAGGCCTCAATTCTTATCACTAGGGAGCAAGATTGGGATTTCAGACAAGATCAAGGAACATCTAGTTCCACGTATTGTTACTGTAACAATTATTACTGTATTACTGTATACAGTAATCTTCTGTAAGATACAGTGTGATCTTCTGTAAATCTGGAGTATTTGTTAAAAATTGGTACCATAAAATTTGCTGGGTCCTATTTGAATTTTTTTGTAACAATTATTTTCATACAGCAACTAACTTTGTTACTGTAGCAACTAACTTTGATAACAGTAGGATACCAGTGGGACATCCACAAGGGAGATATGAATATGACAGCACCCTTCTAACAACAGGTATTTGGGTTACCACTTGCCTCCAATAGCAGGGCATTGATAGAATTCTCTTCAGTGATGCAGAGAAAAATAGACTATAAGCTGAAATGTTTTTTACTTCTCTGTAGATGTGCATGTGGTCCAGCTTGCCAAATGATGAACTGTATGCATGGAACACTTTTACCAAGGCTTTAAACATTTTTGGTAGCAGTGTGATCTTCTGTAAATCTGGAGTATTTGTTAAAAATTGGTACCATAAAATTTGCTGGGTCCTATTTGAATTTTTTTGTAACAATTATTTTCATTTGCAAGAAATAGTCAAACTTTATGAAGGAATGTAAATAGGGAGTCAGCTAATTTCTTCCTGCAGAAGCCCATCCAGTGAGTCATATTCATCCCCATAATGTGCAGAGGAACAAAGGAAGAAGGTGAATGTTGCCAGCTTATATGCCTTAAATAATACAGAAAATCCTCAGTGCAACATTAGCTCAAAGACCAAGAAATCTCTCTGCTAGAATTGCCTGCAGATTGGTCAGATCTGAAAAACGGGACCCAAAATTATTGCAAATGATATGATGAAAAGTGTAACTGACACGAGTAATTGTCTACCATTGTACAAGTCAGCATTGCTTATACAGGTAGTCCTCGCTTAACAACCACAATTGAGACCAGCAACTCCATCACTAAGCGACACAGTCATTAAGTGAGACATCATGTAACCACGATGGATTTATGACCTCACCTCCGCCATGGTCATTAAGTGAATTATCCACAGTTATTAAGTGTGGCATTACATGACTGTGACTTGCAATTTTACTGCTGGCTTCTCCATTGACTCTGTTTGTCAGAAGCAGTGATTACATGTCCCCAGCATGTGATGTAATCGTAAATGCCCGCCAGTTGTGATGTGCCCAAATCTTGATCAAGTGACTATGGGGATGCTGTGATGGTCATAAGTGCAAGGACTGGTCATAGTTACTTTTTCCATGCTGTCATAACTTCAAACAGTTGCTAAACAGGACAGTCATTAAGTGAGGACTACCTGTACAACAGTGATGTATGTGGGAGAGTTGTCAAAGGGAAATCTTTCTCAGACTGACCACAAAAACCATTGTTTAAAGTATATCAAAGAAAACCCTACAAGAGGTACATTTGGAGAAAAAAGAATGAAGCATTTGAAAAAGAATTGTCCACCATTAAGCGCAGGGGTGGCTTTATTATGCTTTGGGCTTGTGAAGCAGCCATACACACCACCACATCAACCATAAAGCAACCCTGAATCAACCATGGAAAAATATATAGGTTTTGGAATGGCCTTCACAATATGTGACTTGAATATTACTGAAAATCTGGGGTGAAATCTGAAACGTGTTACATGCAAGAAGATCTAAGAGTTTGTGAGCTGCAAGAAAGGAGTAGGAAAAATGTAATTCATATAATTATACTTCCTATGTTGTAGAGTAAAGGCATGTGACTAGAGATTTTAGCGCTTCTATCTTTGGGGAGATAGGCCAATCTCAAAAGAGATGAACAACATAAAAACTATTTTTTTAAAAGGTAAAGTATAAAATCTTTTTTAAGATGCTGTACAGCATGGTTTAAAGAAAAGCTGCCAATGATGTAATGCTTCTAGTAGATCATCTGGAACATGCCTAATGTATTATTCCAAGCTGTCATGAAACAGTAACTACTGTAAGTTTGTGAAGAGATATTTAAAAAATGGACTTAATTACACAGAGCAAAACGTATTGAAATTTAATTCAGCCTAAACATATACCTGCCTTAGAGATAACATGAATCCTGAAATACTGTCCTCTGCTGCTTTTCCCTGGATCTCTTCCAGCTTTCTGGGATAATTTCAGCATTTATAAGAGCCGTTGGAGAGAGAGAGAGAGCACATCCCACTTGTTTTCCAAGCTCAGGTTCAGCAGCTTGTTCCGTTTTCTTGGAGTTCTGACTCAGTTTTAAAAGCAGAACATTTTTTTCTCCTACAAGAGAGAGGGGCTGGGAGATCATTGCCATGTGTGAGAGATGTGTATCCAAACTCAGATGCCTTTTGGCATTTAGACTGGCAGGGAGTTTACAGTATTGTGAATGAATATTATACTCTTTGACTATCCCTTTTCCATCTCCGAACTTTTGGAACTGTTGTCAGAAGCAGGCAATCCAGGTTACAGGTTAATATGCTGTATTATCTGAGAGCATGTCTTAAATCAGCATGCCCAGGCACAAAACATCCATTTATCAGGAGGCAAACGTGTGGATATATTCCTGACACACACCCCAGCCCCATCTTTGCCCTTCTTCTTGGCAATTAGATAACTTCCAAGCACTTAACTGTAGTTACACTTAAAAAAAAAAAATCATGAGAATTGATTGGAAATGAGGATGATGCTTTATTTTTCAGCTTCTTGCTATTTCATTTAATTAAGAATTTGAAAAAAAAATAAGGTGGGTTAGGGAACCTAATTTGCTATGGGGTGGGCAAAACAACCTAGCACCAGTCCTGGAGCTGGTTCTACTCTACCTAACCAATTATCCAAGACATGTGGAAATAAAACTGTAATAATACAAGCTCAGCTAAAACATAAACCACAGCTATCAGAAAGGTGCATCAAACCAGTGTAGTAAAAAAAAAAACAGACTATAGAGAGGTATAGTCAGGACACTTCCATTAAAAAGATAAACAAAAATGTGGAAAACAAAAAGCAAAAATCTACCAAAATAAATGCAAGTTTTACAATGTTTGTGTTCACACATCAAGAACCATGTTTTGTTAAATAACTACAGTTTGGCTGGGTTCACACAACACTCTAAGCTAAAGCTACACTAGGTACAAACAAGCAACTAAACTCTTAACATCAACAGCAGACATATATATAGATACAAAGCAGCACAGGATTGCCCCCAGAGCTGGTTGGAATTAAATATTGGCTCAAGGAACAAGAAAGTGTTAAAGGAAGATACCCCAAGTGCCAAAAAAGATGACTTAAAAACCTCACCGTAGAGTATTTAGGCAGGTAGAATATGAAGCAACTTTTAAAGGAAGAAGAATCTGAAGATGAATCTGAAGAAAGCCATGGTTATAACCACAGGCATCCATGAGGGGGCCAAGGGATTGGCAAATGAAGAAATGTGTCATGTCATATGATGCAAAAAACTACAATTTATGTACTTGCATCAGACATTGCAATACAAGTATGTAGGGATGGAGTTTGCATTATGATATTACCATGTGAGTCAAATTTTTGTTATAATCTGTACTGTAGATTACATTCTATGCCTTTTTGGCAATGTAACTTGAACATAATTACTGGATCTAGAATATCCACCAATTATGATATTGCTGATCTAACAAAAATACATTAAACAAACCTAAAACAAGCCCCTGATCTAATCCAATTTATTCAAGTAACTGTTCTAATTTATTCATTTTTATTGTAACCAACTATGTAGACATAGTAGTTATGAAGAACCTCCAGGGATCTATTACACTGCATAACAAGAATGTCACCTCCTTTACATTTAAGAGGCAATTTGTTGCCAAGCAATGTGTATGTATCATAGCCCAAAAGGGTGCTAGGAGCCTACAATTTTATATGTATTTTTTTAATTTGCTTTGTATTTTTACTGTTGTTTTTATATGTATGGTTACATATTTGTATACTTTTATAGGGGGGCTTCCACAAATATTAGAAATAAAAAATACTTCAGAACACAAACCAAGGCTCTTGCATTTATGTGTCTTTGAAAGATATTTGCATGTTGTTTTGACTTGAAACATTTTTAGTTAAACACACCAGGCCTATGCCTTTGTAGTAAAAAGATGGTCAGAAAATTCAATTCCTCATAACTAGAATCCTCTTGTAGTATGGCCAGTGCAAAAAAAAAAAAAAAAGTGAGCTACTGATCTGATGAAGAACCAATTTTATTTAAAGGTGGTAAGTATCAACCAACTGAAGATCTATAGTCAGTTGAAAAATATCTCATACATCTGAAACTGGAGTGCTTTATACAGGTGGTTAAAAGCCAATCCAGTGTCTTTTGACAAATATGTATGCATACATATATGTAATTGTCCCTTCCTTATGAGATGACTGACCTTGAAATGTATCCAGATAGCATTTTGCTTTTGTGGATTAGAGGACTAGTGATTGTGAATCTCTGAATTCAGTTTGCGTGGATATACTCAGAATACCTATCTACATCTCTGAACCAAGAACTGTCTTTGTTTACAGCAAGGGAGGCACTGGGGCAGTCTTTCCATGTTAGTAGAGATAAAAGGTTTACAATGGTAGTGTTGAGTTACTAACAGGCCACAGCACTTTTCTCCCTCCTCTGCTTATTTGCCCTAAGCCGCCTCACTTTTAAAAACAATCACAGCTAGATTAGATAATTAAAAACAGGGTTTATAAATAAAGCTAACAGACTTTTGACTACGGCTACAATGCCACTGCCTGCTAAAAACAGACACACACACACAGTTTATCAGATTACAAATTATAGGAATAGGCTTTAAAAATGTTGCATAATTACAAAATAACCACATTGTTTCAAGAACTTTTATAATTTTTTAATTAGATTAGCTTTACAAGCAACTTGAGAGCTCTTTCAGCAAGGAACACTGATTTTCAAAAGTTACATGACTTTATAATAAATCTGCAAATGAATCCTGAATTTCTTTGCCTGCTAGATAAAAGTCTTGTTTTACAGCTGGCTAATGTCATGAAATAAAAATAGCATCATGAAGCTTTATCTTTAACCAGGACTAAACAGATATACAGGCCATAAGACAGTTTAAAAATAGTCTGAAACAGGTTTCTGTTTGGTGATGCCCCAGGCTGAAAATTTAACTGACATGAACTGTTTTAAATGGGCATCAGAGGCCCAGTTTGGTAACCTTTGTAAATAATGGAGATATGTAAGAGATTGTTTATCTCCCCAGCAAGCAAAAATGTAAGATGCTGATACCTTTGAATAAAGGGACAAAAAAGTGAAGTCTTAGGTTTGCATTTTTAACACATTAAACATAATACAAAAGCAGTTAAAAGTTAGGTTTACTAGGCCTAAACTGTGCATTGCGCTGCAGACCAGTCAGTAAAGAATTTACACTCCTTGGCCAGGCTTGCAGAGGCACTTAAAAGTAGATGTGTTTTCTTTTGATTTACCAGGATGAAGAGAAAAGCCAAACCATTAGAAGTTTTGACAGCTAATAAGTAATTTTTGGAGAAGGGAACAGAAGGGAACAAAAACCCCAGACTTTTTTTGCAACTTTCCCCAGTATGCTATCACATTGAATTTTCCCCCTTCTGTCAATGGTCATTAAGCACAATCCTTGTTTTTTTTTCATGTTTTACATGAATAGTAAGGTTTTTTTTTAATAAAAATTACTGAGCTTTCCATAGAAAAGGACTCTTAAGAATATAAACTATACAGATGCTAAGTTGTACACAGAGAAACATTTCTGTACACTCACTTTACTTTGATTAAGTGAGGTAAAAAGGGATTGGTGATGCTATTTGTAAGGCTGGGAGAATTTAAAAGCTTCCCCCTTCAGGGGAATTACATTTCAGCAGAAAACTAAAATAAATTTCACATAGCTGGTGAATGAACTTAATTGTTCCTCACTATGTTTTTTCAGAAACATCAGACCATTGTAAAAATGTCTCCACAGTATGAAATCCTTTACATATTAAGCCTGCAGTGATGCACTTCAGTCTTAATGTATTTAATATACCCTTGACACTATGTAAGATCATCAAGGGGCTAAACAGTAAATGAGGAGGGATACTAATGCTTTGAGAGAAAACTTCATCTCTGATTTTAATTTGCATTAACTTACATGTAATGAGAGAAAGCTTTGAAATGAGTTAAGACAGATCTCCCATCAAGGTAGTAGAAAGGGTGTTGGTACATCTAAAAGCCTAGAAAAGCCCTTACAGTTTAGGGATTGAATGGTATTAGTGGACAGAATCCACCTAGTAATTCATCTGCAGAAGTTGCACAAGAGCACAGCTTTTTGTTGAAGAACTGTGTTTTCATCAAATGGGTTCACAGATGAAGTTCCCAGTGGGGTATACCCATAGTGTTCAACACTATGACAGTACAGATAGTGTCAAGTTCACTTAGTGGCCAGCCAGTGACTTAGAAAACCCAAATGAGACAGATTAAAAAATGGTTCCTTTCCAGATTCAGTAAGTAAAGCCATAGACTTGAGTAACTGACAGAAAGACAGGCATCTATCTCATGTTGTTTAAGTTTCAGAGAGAACACAATACAATCAATCAAATCAGTATAAGATATGAAAAAATGGGTTCTTAGATGATGATTAAAGTGCTCCTTTTTGGACTTTAGGTGAAAAGACAATCATTTACTGGCAATTTTTTATTTAAATTAATTTTTATGTGGTAGAATAATAGGGTGAATAGCAGATTTACAAAAATAGATAAATGCTACTTTGGAGAATGTTTGTTTTGTTCAATTTTGATCACCTGAACCTAGTTATACAAAATTATTTAAACTCAACATCACTTTTTTCTTTAAGAGGAAGATAAGCAGCACTGAGCTGGATGACAATGTCAAAACATGAATGATAGAAAACCTCTAATGTCGGGCACTTCATGTGTAAACTGTTTCTTGTCAATGCTTATCTTTACATTAGAAGTCACAGGACTGGAGTCACAATCATGGAGTACAATGCTTCAGCAGTTAAAAAGCCATTTGATGCAACATGGAAACCCATTGTTTACTGATTCAAAATCTTGATTTGGTGTAGATTTGCTTTTTCTTATTATTCACATTCAAAAGTTATAGATATCGCCAAGGTTTGATGAAGGTGAGGTGAAAAGAGCCAGGATGTAGCGGATGGAACTGTAGATCAAAGGCTTTACAAATGTTCTTTCCCATTTGAATCAGAAGGTTTATTTAGTTCAACCCTCACACCTTTTTCACCTGCAAAAAAGGGAGGATATTAATATACAAAGATTGTATTGAAATGCAGGTGGAAATAAGTTATAATTTTCATTCTATTAAAATTTAAAACAAAATATAATGCTTATTTTTAAAGCTTCACAATAAATGCCAGTTTGAAACCAAGTTAAATACACTGAACTTCCTGTGGTTCATCAAGTGTCACTCTAGAGAAAGCCATTCGTGGGTGGTACTAATTTTTAATATATTCTGCTAAATAATTACTAAGGCTTATATCCAATAAAAGTCTTCCGCAGATAGGATTTCTCTCTGTTCAGTAGGACATTTCTGAAAGTACACTGTGTGCACAATTATTAGGCAAGTGAGTATTTTGACCATATC